TATATATAAGAAGTCATATAGAGCATAAATATGCAGCTATATTCATTAGCAGGTGATGTCAGCCGACGCCCCGGATAATTGACTAATATTTGCGGAAAAAATCAAGAGCTTTTAGTAAACGAGGCTGACGTACGTCTCGCCGCCCCGCTAATGTACATGAACGGGAGACAGGAATTAGTTTATTCGGCGTCTGCCCTCCCCGCGTTGCTATAGCGCCGCTATACAGAATTTCACACGTCATTCGTTAGCGGTGTGACATGCGGGGGGAACTCAATGTATAGCACTACTGTGTGTGTGTAAAATTTATGCGTCATCCAAAATAAAATATATTGTTCGCAGTTTTCACCGGCGGGTGTTCGGTGGTTCTTCGAATGGGGGTCCGATAATGGCAGACGTAAATGGTTGGATTGACGTACATGTTACGCGCTCATCAAACACTATCAGCCCAACATTGCGCCCAAATGATTGCGGGAAATAGTAGAAAAAACAGATTTGTAGCTGTCCACTTTCTATATATCAGAAAATGAATATTTCACGATGAGAGTAGTCCGTTCACATTGGCTTGTAAATTCACTATGTCGTGGCAACATACATGTGCCTCTACAATATTCAAAGGAAGGAAAAACGGATATTATTAACTAATGCTACGTTCTTATGCCATGCAGAGTCGTTTTATAGTGACTATATAAAATGCCGTTTTTACGTTATACGCATGGCGTATGTAGTGACTATATAGTATATAGTCACTGCAATACGCCATGTATACCGGCAAAGTTTGTTATTCGATGTCATTAAACTATATGGTTAGCGATGTACTACTAGTTTCGGCTTATTTTACTCAACGGGCTCTTCAGTAAAGCTGTAAACTTACGATCTGTGGCTGTGTGTACGTTACAGGAGACGAACAGGAGATATCTGAGCTGTCCTGCAGCAGTCACTGTCGCCCATCTGAAAAAGTTCATCGTGCTGAAGTTCGATCTATCACAGAACATAAAGGTACGTAACTGCATATCATTCCACCACACCCGCCACGAAACGATTCATATCCTTGGTTTAGTGAACAAATTTACATCGATGTACGTTGGCGTGACGGTGTTGTGAGTGCCGAGTTTTATGTTAGCAACTATCGACAGATCATTGCAGATATTGTACAATGTAATGCCGTGCTGTAATGCCGTACTAACCGTCATGTAACTATAATTACTGGTATGAATAAATAAGTAGATATATATGTAATAAATAAATGGTTACGTGAATAATTTTATAATTTTATAAATAGATGAGAAGAAAAGTAAATATATGAGTGTATAGATTCATTAGTGATCATAAGGTTTATGTTAAAATTGACCTGAGGTAATTTAAAATGGAATAATTAATCGCAACAGTGTGAATAATAATTATGACATGTAACTAAATATTTTTTTTAATTATGAATGATTATCCGTTCATGCTGCGTACATAATTTCTTAATTAAGTGATTTTACTTGACAGGGACTAATGGTCACATAAGTATATCTAACTCCTTCATAACTCTAAACTAAGTTTACTTTAACTCTCCACTTCTCTTAATAAGCTAACTGAATTTAACATGCGCTTGATGATAGAAAACATTTACCACTTTACTGCAATCATGCAAAAATATATATATATATATATATATATAAGCATAATTGTTTTCAACACTTGAGGTTTCTCTATATTAATATTAAAACTGCATTAATGCCAGTGTTTGCCGAGCTGTCTTGAGTGCATTCAATCGCGGGCGGAGGTGAACGATAAACTATTTATATAACGAATTAAAATTCGAGCCGACATTGCTTATAGTGTATACTATATTCGCTTTGGTATTGCACGAGCCTCTCCAGCGCAAAAATTGATTTATAAATGCATTATTAATACGTTTACGACACTCATCCTTCATAAAATTTCGCGCGCATTACCATTTCTATCGCCATAATTTAAAATATTTTTGCCGACGCTTTGACCAACACCGAATCCCCCTCCTTGATTTCGCATGTTATTCATGTTGTCACTATATATTTGCACGGTTTTGTTAATTTGGTATAGTTTAGTTTTAATGTATGTTCAGGAAGTGTAATATATTTAATTATCCATTATATATATATATATATATATATATATATGTATATATATATATATATATGCGTGTGTGTGTGTGTGTGCGTGCGTACGTGTGTGTGTAATTACAAGGCGATAGGGGATACTCTGTTTATCCTACATATGTGCACGTTTTAAAAGATTCGTGTTATGTTTGCAGTGATGATGAACCATTTTTAAAGAATGGACCGTCTGAAGTGAGTATAGCTTTTTGTGTATAGCTTATAGCTTGCAGAAATTGCCATTATAAAATAATAAAATACTCTAGGAAACTTTACCATGGTACGAAAAAATATTAGGTTTACCCTCACGTCAACTGAATTCTCTCGACAAGTGTTCTTCACAGCTGCACCACTGGCTTTACGGTATTTAATTTTTTCCTTTAGCAAGTGCTATATATTTGCCTATACGTTGTTCACTACTGTACACTTGGTCCTGTTATACTACGCTCTAGCCATGATGTGCTTTCTGCGCTCAATTAAGAATCTCATACGCACCGTTAAACGGCGCGCACGTCCCCACGTTCGTTAGAAAATGCTATTGATTTTGTTAGCGCGAAATTACATCGTGAAATTAACTTCTCCACTAATCCCGTCTCGTAATGAAATTAACCGGCCGATCTTTTGTAATGGGATATGAGCCGAAATATGCGCGCATGCAGGCCCGAAATAAATCGGTAGTTGGGTCGACGTTCGTTCGCGATACATATGTTACGAACATTCTTAGGATTTCGCCGCCGTATTTAAAAAATGGCGCTGCACAATATGAAAAATGACGCTGCTTAATTTAGAAATGTGGCTGCACGATGTAAAAATGACATGCACAATATAAAACACGACGCTACTTGATTTAGAAATGATGCTGCACGATTTGAAAATTACATGCACAATATAAAAATGACACTGCGCGATTTAAAAAGGACACTACACGATTTCAAAATCTATCTCGGAACGAGCGCAGCATAAATACACCACTGATTCATAGAATGCCGGGGAGAATGCATCGGACCATTTGTCGGAGTATCGTAACAAAGGCGTTTAGTACAGAGAGCTTATAAGCTGTTAACGCTCCTGTTGGCTAAACGCATGAACACGCACGCGGTGCCAACGCAATAATACCTGACATTTTGTTCGGAATGAAAAATTAATCGTATAACGGGAGTACGTTAAATCTCGGATCACGCTGCATTAACCCGTTATCATTATGTAAATATAGCGCTGACAGGGCTGCATGCGCAAAGCGGTGCAAATGTTATATATATATATATATATTTATATATATATATATGCGTTAATTACGTTGTGCTATGATTTAATTTGTGAGACATCCGCTCACCCGCAGGCGCGTGCGCCTAAATGCTTGGGTCGACGTGAAATTTTAACGCCTCGTAACGTTGGAAACGCAACACTCGCTCTAGAATAACTTCTCCTTTCGCGCACGCTTACGATCTTCGAATATCTTGAAGCTTCGTGGCTGAATTTCAAGATGGCGCCGCTCAATCTGAAAATCTCGCTGGTCAGTGTTTAAAAATAGCGGGTATCGAACCGACGCCATCTTGAGGTTGCGTGGATCCGTGAAAATGCACCTACCGGTAAATTAAGACTTTACCAATAATTACTTAAATGTTTATTGGCGATTAATACTCCGGGAACATATACGTTACAGCAGAAATGGATTATTATTCGTGGGAGGACAAGCAAGGCAAATCATTTAAATGTATTCACGTTTCTTCTGTGACAATGTGAGGTTAGAAGCGCGTGGGGGCATGTGGTTATATTAGAACGCGACCTAGTGAGTTAGCAAACCTTCTCATGTTTATCTTCCGCGTGTCGGCATATTTCAAAACAGTTTAAACATTTCAAACGTTATAACTGAAAACGATGTCCGTCCGAGTTAAGTATAAACATGCGTCACCCTACCTATATATACATATATTGTCCGTCCGTCCGTCCGTCCGTCTATCTATCTATCTATCTATCTATCTATCTATCTATCTATCTATCTATCCATTCATCCATCCATTTATCTATCTTCCCCTTCTCTCTGCTCGTCTCTCACTGCTTCCCCTATTTACAGCAGTAGAGTGTACAGCACATGCACGCAGGCGGCCTCCTCGTAAATACGGGAGAATCCATCGATTTTCGGCGCCGAGTTTTTATCGCGCGCGCAGACGACAGCATCCGGATTTCCCAGCGCCCCGCGCGATGCTGCTGCGCATGCGCGCGTGTGTGTGCTACTATGGCTTGCCAGCCTCCGCCAGCCTCCGTTGCTTGCGCTGCCTCGGCCGCCTGCGCACAAAGGCGGGTCATCATAACACACGGCGTGATTAATTGCAACGTGATACGCGGCCAGCGAGAGCTTAAACCTTGTGTGTTTGTTGACTTTTAAGTAATTATGCGCTTATTACGAGCGAGTAATGTAGCGACCCGCAAGCGGTACGGTCCACGGCAGCATATTGATAGACAAAGGCCCTCGTGTGCGAGTCACGCGTGGGATGTCGTGGTTCTGATAGAGAAAGCAGAGAAGAATGAAGATAAGATTGGGGCGCAGAAGGAGAAGGGGCAGAAGCGAGAGCAGAAACATTTGTGGTAGGGGGCCTATATAAAGGATGGTCTCTCGACACGCACGCCCGCGTGAACGCACGCACACATGCACGCACGCTCATGTTTGTCACCCTCTCAACGTGTTCCATGTACGCCGCGTGTAATGTCGCTCGCTATTCAACATGCGCGTTTTCTATTCATTTATACATCGGCGTGGATTCTCTAAAGTTTCGCGGATTCTCTAGCACACAAAATACTATTCATTACCTACTTTGCAACACGCATAACTAGCACGGTCCCATTGTTAAGAGTCTAGACTGCAATGATCTAGGACTCGCGCACATCTTAACACAATATCGAACGAGCAATCTGTAATTCTATAAGCGGCTTTGTCGAATACGACCCATATTTATTGTTCACGCATATCACCATTTAAAACTCCGTGAGCTGCTCGTATGGCGAATAGCGATATTCCGCGTATGTAGACGTTCGACGTGCATTCATAAAGAGCACACAAACTATAGTTTACCAACTAAACATAACATAACATAACCACTAGACATAACTGATAACATAACCACTAAACTTAACATAACATAACCACTAAACATGTGATGATGTGAATCCAAATCGCGCGTAAAAATTCCGTGGGTTCCGTGCATAAAATTTCCGGAAAGTCTTTTCGATCGTCATGGATGTTGCGGAACCAATGGATTGAAATAGATCTAGAGAGGTCGAGTGAAATAGAGGCGAGTTTAGCCGCGTTACGTGTATAAATTTATTATTACATATTTTCCCCGTAGCTACGATATTCATAAAACAACCAGTTTCCATTACGGTATATAACTATATCTATATCCCTCTATCCATCCAACTATCTATCTATCTATCTATCTATCTATCTA